TTTGACAGCTGTGGTCTATTAGGGACAGCTGATTTACAATGCTGATGATAACACACTGCAGTTATACTTCAAACAAAGAGGCCAAAGACACTGATCCGGTGACTTGGTCTGTTTTAACCAGTGACAGCTGGTGGTGGATCTTCTAGGGGTCATATATGAAGGCCTCCTGCTGGACATCAGGTATCATCGGCAGGTAAGTGATAATCACAGAGATGTTTGACAGATTTTAAAGAACCAGTATTCAAATGTTGAGTATATCTTTAGAAGATAAATCACAGATAAAGTTTGTTTAAAACATTGTATATATATTTATAAATGTCATTTAAGCACTGAAAAAAAATCTGCTTATCTGCTTCATCAGGACTGCGGGGGTGTGGTTAAATCCAACAGACATCTCCATGGCAGCAGCGACAACAAACCTAAATAAAACATTATTCTCTGTTTACTAAATAGTGCGTTTAAAATAATTTCACTATTTTATTTAAGTTTCTGAATTCTCTGGGTGAAATGTATGCTCTATATGTTCCCACAAAAATTCCCTCAATGGAAAAAAAAGTTGTGTTCGTGGCATGTAGATGGGTAGTCAGAAATGAAACTCAGAAATCATGAGCAATGTAGATAAGGCAGTGCTGTCCATCCCTTTTAGCTTGTGATCCCTTGACATGAAAAAATCTCCACTTATGACCCTTCATTGAAGATAATGGACATGAGTAGTGATCTATTTCAGATGGATTAATTTGAAGGATGTGGAGAATCCTCAGATTTAGCTTCGGTCCTGACCCCGAGGTTGGGAACCGCCGATATCAGGTGTGGTGAACGAGTGAATGATGGGAGTGATTTCAACCATAGCCTTTTTCTAATGTTGTTCAATTCTGACTGGTGCATGGAAATGTATGACATCACCTACTGTTACAACCCTGAATGCTCAACCTGAACACAAACCAGTAAGAGGAGTACAAACAAACAGAAATATAGAAATATTTCATGTGAAATAACCAGTATCATTCTAACTTTGGCAGTTAATATTGTATTCATGTACTGAAGGACCCCATTGCTTACAATAATAAGATGATTGAGAGAATAGGTTTTTGGGAGGCCTTTAATTTGCAATGTGCTCAGTATGACAAGTAAAAGCAGAAGATGTTGAATAAGAATTTAACAGTCAAATTGTCTTGGTGTGTATTGTTTGAGTTTTATCTAGAGATTTCTGGTGATGCATCTCAGCAAATAAACATTCTTTGCATGTTTCGGAACATCCAGTAAAGTGCAGGGCCTTAAAAAAGTATTATCAAAGACACAGTCAGAGAAAAAAGATACAGTACATTACGTGCAGGTTAGGAAAAAGCGCAGTGCTCCTTCATTACTTTGGAAAATGGCTCTTAATAATGCAAAGTATATGGAATTTTGCTCTTCCCTTCAGGGACCCATTGTGCACAGTGCTGTCATTTACAGTGGCATTTTTAAATGTCACATGTCCACAAGGCACAGGATGTGACTTGACAATGTGGTAAGTGCAGGCAGATGCAATGCATGTTGTTTTTGCAGCACTAGACCACTTTGCATTTTCTCAGCTTTGGTAAAATATCAAGCTTTGGTGGTTGCTTTGTGGACTTTCTGTTGGGCATTTAGAAAGAAAAAGGAAGTTCAGTGTTGCATTACTTGTGTTTTCTCTTTATTGGCTTTCCAGAGTGACATCATTGTCAAGATGTCTGACTGTCATTGGATGGGCAGGTTAGATAACAACACAGCAATCATGTAGCCACAGGAAACATTCCTTACTGTCATATAGGGGCTTTATTTTTGACAACTGTGTCGAAGTCCACAGCGTGAGCTCTTGTGTTTGGGCCTGTGATGCATCTCACAAAACAACCTGTGTTCAGTCATCCCCCATGCTGTCATACAGCATCCACTGCATGTGCTGTTGCGCTGTTAGATACGTGACTGTACCTATGAGAGTGTGTCTGTGCAAACACTTACAATATGTTGGTTGTGCAAGTGAGATTTTATCAGCGGGTGGAATGAAAAGGGAACAAACTAATACTTATTTTATAGTTCAGTCTACAAATACACACATTTTACAACTACAAATTAATAAAAAAATATATTGATGATATCACAATTTCAAGTTAAAACATCACAGCCATATCAAGAGTTCAGAGGATGCAGAAATGTAAGATTTGGAGATGACTGTCACGGGTTGAAGGGGTCTCTTCATTTTAACTCTCAACACTGTCTGTTTTCTGGAAAATAAATAGTCATGTGCCAAGAAATGGTTTAGTGGTTGTAACCGTGTCTTTTGAACATCACATGTGCCTGTTGGTTCAGGAGGATTCAGTGCCAAACGAACTTTGATCAAAGTGTCCTTTAAACCGTCACTTTAAACTGTTGCTGTTTGAATACATATTGTGAATTTGTGAGAGTGAAACCTGAAAAAGTGTCACCTGAAGAAATTTATACTATTTTCGGAGAAAAATATTTGTTATACCATCCTTTGTTCGTGTATTTGTGGATGTGTTGTTCCTGCTTTGTACAGCAGTTGCTCCCCTTCTGTGGATAGAGACGGGTTGATGACTCTGATATGAGATAAGAGAGAGAGAGAGAGAGAGTGAGAGAGAGAGAGAGAGAGAGAGAGACGTGCTGCAAGGCCACATCTCACATAGTTCGTGCCAGTGTGCAGTTTGTGGGGAAGGCATAAAGTAATTAACAAGTAATTATTGCATACTGTAAATCACATGTCTAACCTCCCCATGGAAAGAAAAACAAAACATGCAGTTTCATTTTGAATTTCCTCTAAATGATATTGCAGCCTCTTTCAGTATAGTGCCAAGTGTTACTGCTTCCATAGTCTCACTTTTCCACATAGTAGTAGTTGACTCGCCTTGTGTGACCAAAAAGTCTGATATATATCTGTTCAGAAGGAAATCATTCTATAAGCAAAAACACTGTATATTTTATCTATCTACCTACCTATCTATTTTTATCTAAATTAATCTTCACAAAAACTGAAAACTGAAAACATAACTTCACATCAACATTTATTATGGGGTTGTTGCTTTTATGTGTGGGCGTGCAAATGCATGTGTATGTGCTAACGGGTCAGAGGAAGTGTGCTTTTTTCAAATTGTGTCATTATGTGGGTGAACAAAGCAGTTGACCAAACATCTTCTCTGTAATGCTTGAGAAAATGACGATAAATCTGGGTACAGTAGCATCCACTCTCATCAATTGGATGCTATTGATATAACTGGAAATTTTGAAGTAGACAAAGGCATGGTCCAAGATTTACAAAGAGAGGCAGCCTTTCACATCAAATTCATCTGTTGTTTCTATTCTATCTATTTTAACTCCAATGTAAATACACACTATAAAACAAAATTAAATTTAAGACTATTTTTTAATACTCACACATTTAAACCCACCTAGTTGTTCAAAAATTGCTCTGGTGCACACAATGGCTTTCCTTTTAATCTTTGAATTGTTGATCAATTCACTTCACATATATTGTACAGAGCTACTTGTGGTTGGGAATAATTATGAACATTTCACATATTATAGCTGCTTCTTGTAAATTCCTGTTTGCGTGTGGCTCATCGGTAAGGCATTAAACATGGTGTGGTTGGCCTGCTAACTAACACCTCTGACTGGTTGAACACAACACCTCCACACCTAACACACCCTGATTATTAATGCTGCATTTAATCCAGAAGATTTAGTGGGTTTACACTCGACTGCACAACCAAAACTAATGAGCAAGAGCTCAAACTCGTTTCACTGAGAGGGTTGTCAACCACAGGTAGGAAATATGGGGACAACAATATAGGCGGGGCAGTGGATATACTGTAGAGTTTCCTTGTTCCCCTTTAGTGTCAAAGGGCTTACACAAACACACACACACACACACACAAACACACACAGAGGGAGAGAGAGAGAGAGAGAGAGAAAGAGAAAGAGGTTCCTTTAACATTTCTTCAACTGTAACGATACAACTGTAACTGTCAGCCCAAGTCCTCTGAGGCTGAAGTCTTATTTTCTGCTACAGGTCATTGATCCTATACTCAGAGTCTAAGTGCAGAGACTCATACTCATACTACTCATAATGTGACAGCCTGTAGTCTGCTGCCCTCTTGTGACCAGCACACACTTACTGTCACTGATGCTCCTTGCGAGATTTGTATCTACCCTGCTAAATTTTGGCTATGAGATGGATGTACATGCTACTATTAAAAAAAAATTACATACTATAATTCTAAATCACTTCACTTATATAAGTTACACATTAGTCCATAATGATATAACAAAATGATTGAATATCACAACTGACCAAGTTCCCACATCTCCCCTGTCCCCCTCTGTCATTGTCAGTTAGTGGCAAATGTGTTGATAAATATGTTAAAGATTACCATACAAGTGATATTTTTCATACATACAGCACATTTTATATGTTTAATGTCAGTTTAGAAAAACAAATCCTAAAAAGGTGAAGATGATATCTGTTTCATTCTTTAAAGAAACATATATATCTCCACCTGTAAGTTACCCCCTTCTGAATAATGCTGGAAAAAGCTTGCTTGTGGTTGATGGTTGAATATAATTTGTGACCCCTACTGTATGTTATTCTAAATATTGTAGGCCTAAATGAAAAAAAGGCAAGATAAAAGGAGGTATGGATACATCGTGAGGCCTCCAACAAGGAGCCCAGAGAATCCCACCAAGAAGAATCCAAAGGACTGACCTGAATCATCAACTGAACCCTTTATAAACTTGCCTAACAGTAAAATGAAATGTAAATATAATGTGAAAATTGATAAAGAGTTTGTGTTAAATTAAAATCTGAGGAAAAGACTCCTAACAGAGCAGTGGACCAGGATGAGAAGATAATGACTTTTAAGGTCAAGCTCAAGGATGATGACAACAACCCCAAAGTTTTCCACAAAAAGCACATGCTCATGGTTTATTAGCACTCATTAGCTTAGCAACACAGGCTAGACTGGCTGTATACAGAGAACTATAGCAACCAAGTGCTACAGCTGTGGATGTATGTCTTTAGCCTGTAGCTAAGTTAAGTTTTAGCTTTAAGTAAGTTTTTGATGGCTATGGCTACTGAATTAATGGCTAACAGCTAGCCAGCTAATATAAAAGTGCAGAAATTTCTCCCTTACCATTATTGGCTAATTTGTATCACTAGCTATATTTATTTAGGTTTTTTGTGACAGTTAGCTAAGGTAGCACTGTGAGCCACTTCAAAAACAAATATCTTAGGATCTTCTACAGTCTGCACACCATACAAAAGTCGTGCATTTTAGGGTTCATGGCTGATTGCACCAGTTCTAAAATATCATATATTGAGAAAACATAATGAGGTGTAGTCTTTAAGATGTGTTTTTTTATTTGCCAGACATCCACTACATTTATATCAAAGAACTATACTGTAATATTCATTGTTGTTGAGTCATTTCTGATCTAGGTAGACTCTGGCTTTTAAACCATCACCGAGCAAAACTGGATGTTTAGTTAACATTTTTTTACACAACTATGTTGATAAATAACATGATTATGTTTCAATGCAATTACAAACACACACGTGTGTACTGGTTTGATGCTTTGGCGGTCGTTAACAGAGCAACAGTGTGTGAATAAAGCCCAGCAGAAACAGCCTCTGTGCGGCTGTTGCTGGGAGCTCCGGCCAATCAAAGCCGCAGCGCTTCCATACAAGTAGTTTGGGGGCTGGAGAAGCATGACATCATGCACAGCTCCGGCCCTCTCAGCGAAAACAAAGATTGAAACATCTTTATCTCACTACAGCAAACCACAGTCGACGACAGAACCGTCTGCACTGTGATATTCCGCGGCCCCATCCGTAAAATACACCGGGAGGCTGAGCCTTGTTACCCGCGGTGTGCGGAGCGGAGTCTGGGAGGGGCATCCGTCCGTCAGTCCGGGGGAATGGCGGATGGGGAGGCCGCCGTGTCTGTGGAGTGGGGCAGCGGTGATGGGGGTTTAAGAGAGTAACATCCCACCTCTGCATTTCTATTTCCTCCGTTTAGCTTGGTGTTCAGCTTTGGCCATGGATCCTGAGAAAAAGTTGACATTCTGCCTCGGGCTGAAGGCTGAGGAGGTAATGCACTGCACAGCTTTCCTTTGATTCACGCACTGCTGTCAACAGCTGGGCTTTAGTGATTCTGCAGAGCAACATGCTTCCCTCCGCCTGTGTTGTTGTTGTTGTTGTTGTTGTTGTTTCAGCTGCTGCTGTTGGCAAACAATCGCCTCAACTTGTTCTGTGCATATTTGTCTTTTCATTTCTTCGACATATTTTTCGACACAATAGGTGCATCTTTGCACCACTGCAGCAAACGGTTTGTGTTGAGTAAAGTCAAGTCAGTTATGGTTCCTGAGTGTTTGTAGTCAATGGTGAGGCTGTGTGTGAGGCTGGGGTCAAGGCACAACACATTATCACAAGTTTTAGAGGTGTGGGCCTACCAACACACCACAAAATATCCAGAACATCATGAAATAGTTTTGCAAATATTTTAAAATTTACTAAGGTGACTAAAATCAAATTCCAAATTGACAAGGTATGGACTTATAGTCAACTTTCTCAGGGATTACTAGGTTGTGTGTTATAATTTGTGACTTACTGCCTTGTGTTGAGGAAACTGCTTTTAGATTTTAAGTTGATACCTTGTTTCCAGCATTGTAGCCTTGAAAACCTGTGGTAATGCACCAAGGATTTAACCCTAATTTATGCAGGCATGATTACAAGAGCTTTCTCTGCCAGACTCTTATAGCCTCATAAATCTAATGTACAGTTGCTTGTCCAGCAGAGGAACAGCATACTGCTGAGTCAGGACACTGCTGCTTCACTGAGGATGATGTTTCCTGAAACAAAAGTTAACAAACGGTCGACATCGTATTGCACAGAACACAACTGCAAACATATAGGGATATGATGAAGTCAGATAGAGTTGATGGTGAGAACCACCTGGCAGATTTTGAAGGAGATTAGTTTAATGTACTGCTCACTTTTGTTGGCTGTGACATGCTCACATATACAATATTTCATTGCTTCCATGGCAACATCTGCTTGTTCCTCAAGTAAATATTCTTTTTAGGAACTTAGTTCTTATGTTGTCAAACAGGCAGCAGTATGGCAGAAAGTGTTGCCTCACAGCGAGTCACACCTCAACCCACATGGTGACAGCAGTCTGCTACAGCATTAAAGAGTGAAACTTTAACCTCGCCTTTATAAACCTTTATGACACTTTTAGGGTTTAATATCCTGGGTCATAATCTTGACTACACCACATAAAATCAAGTTTTCTGTGCAGATTTTCACTTCCCTGTCGCCTACTTGCAGCTGGCATCAGTAAAGTGAACATCTGACATTTCACTAAATAGTACTTTTGTGGCAGTTTACAGAGTTTGCATATCAAACATACATTTTACAGCTTTTCACACTCAGTTTCCCGCATTTTTACCTTTTATTTGCTGCTATGCTGTGTAGACCTTTGGGACCCCAGAGGTGGAAACCATTTGTGGTTAGTCCGTGGTCTCTGGGAAAGCCTGAATGATCTCCTCACACCCGTGCACATACTCAGTGCTGTGTGGTGGGCTTACCACAGGAACTCAGCTCGACATCACTGATGCCAGAACATTTCCCCTCTTGACTCTGACTTTCGTAACAGTATAGAAACTTAGTTCTATGAACTAGTTGAGGTTATGTTTGACAGTTGGATTTACCTCTTGAGCTTTGTTATTACACAATAGCTGTGTGTGTGCACATATAAGAAAGACATGGTTTGCAGGATCTTATTCATCTATAGCTCAAGCAAAGTAAATGAAAAATAGCATTAGTAAAAAAAACAAAATAACAGAGATTAAATCATCTTAAATCTTGAAGCAAACAGAGGCAAACAGTTGTTCATGGGCATGTTTCTGATTATCCAGTACTCTTGTAGAATTTAGAGCTCAGTATCAAACCTTAGTGTGTTTTTTTGGTACCCTCTGAAACATGTCTGTAGCACAGAGTAATCCAAAACTGTCGAGCACTGAAAGTGAATGCCTGCACACATTTGTATTGTACTTATTCTTTGATCAGATTATCTCGGACTCTGATTAAAATCAAAAGTTTAGCTTCTTTTAATATATGAACAAAAATGTTTTGTAGAAATAAGACGTCTATATTTGTGTTTTGGTATCAATATATATAAATATTCTATCAGGACTGGTATAAAAAAATGTAGCCAGCCATAATAGCGTTGAAGATCATGTGTTCATGGCCATATATATGCTGCCTGCCACCAGATCAATATCTGGCAGAAAACTTGAGTTATCTGTCCCATGCTCTGCATGCTGCAGTGCCAGTTGCTTTTTTGGAGCCTGTATGTCCTTCATTAGACATTGTTCTTCCACCAAAGAATCATGTAATGCTGTGTTATGCAATATTAATAAATCTGTGGTTGCATCAGGTGTTGAAGAATTGTTTACTATGCACAGTTTTATATGATATGCCACAGCAAATATGAGTGTCTCTTGGCTAACAGCTACTACAGTCACATATACAGCCTCAGACCAGTGTGTGGAGTTGGTTGCTTTATGAGATTTGGCAATTTGTCATTTGGTACTTTGTAAACGGACAGTAGTTGTGATTCTGAACTTGTTAATAGCTGTGTATGCACACACCCCTGCACAAACACAAACACACACACACATACTGCAGTTTAGGACATAGCATTGTTCCCCATGCTGACTACATAACCAGGAGGAGTTGTTAACAAAAGAGGTCTCATTTACATGGCTGCAGTCCTGGTGTTAAACAAGGTAGCGTGCCCCCATTGTCTCCACATTGTTTTTTGACAGTAGCCCCAGCAGCAGCACACACACACACACAACCATTTTTTTCTTTTTACTCACAGTGGGCCTGTCTGGCATTTACCGAGGCGTGAGTGACACTCTGAATTTTGAAATCTGCACAAGGACAGAATTGCATTTGAGTAGCAGAAACGCACATATAGTATAGCAGTATTCATCACTCCTGCACACAAATCATTGTTGATCATTATGGCTGAAGGTTATGTTGCCTACTGAGATGCTATACGTGTCAAAATAATCCTGTGAGGAAAATTAATATTCTCATAAAATGACCAGGTGTTTCATACATATGTGACTTTTTAATTGCTAGAATGCTTTGGTGATCAGTTGATCAACAGAAAATGATTCGATTTGAATAACTGATTTATCAAGCAAGAAAAAAAATGTCTGATTGTGTCTGACTATTGGTCAGACACAAAAAAACAACTATAACATGTCACCTTGTGCTTGGGAGGTTTTCTAATATTATGTGATAGTAATGAAAATAATTGTACTGGTTAAAGTCATCACCATTTTAGATTTGTATGTTTTGCATCTACTTGTGTGTTTGGAGGAAGAGAGGAAAAGGGAAGTGAGAGAGCATGCAAGGTTTTAGGAACGTGTCTGGGAATTGGTGCCTTCTGTCTGCCATGTCGACACACACACGCAGGAGAAACAGGTTTTGTTAAAAAGCCATTGACCTTCCCGTCTCCTTGAAGGGCCAGGAGTATGTGGCAGCCAGCGTCTTCAGACTGGAAAATAGACCTTTAGTTTGCCTTTTTTGTCATGCTATATCAGTGGAATGAAAAGACAGGATTGTTTGTCTCATGTGAACCATGTGCCCTTGACAGCTGAAACATGTAGTGCCAATCTTTTACATCCTATCATTTCTCTTTCTACCTAACTGCTCTCGCGTCTTAACCATTGTGTGTCTCTGTCTTTCACCAGATGACCATGTCCCTGCAGGGGCTGGATGGCACTGAAGCCGCTACGGTACGGAGCTCGACCTTCAACTACAACTAAACATGTCATGCCACTGGATAATATAAAACATTGTCCACGAGTAAAAAAAAAAAAAAAAAAAAAAAAACGTCCTCCAAGCGGTGGTTGCTATGGCAATGCATAATTACTTGTTAGCACTTCAGAGTCTCATGTGTGGTAACTATGTACATAACAGATTTAGCAACCTCTTCTTGCTGCATTATTATTGTGAGTTGTGATTTTGCTCAAGTGCCTGAGCTCATCCACACACTCTTATTTCCTCAAGCAGTCAATTTTGCTTTTTCTGACGTCTCAAACATTTAATAGTTAATGTCTGTCCTTCACTTGCTTGTGTCCTTCACAGTCACTTGCTAATGACTAAGATGCAAGTGTAAAATTCACAGAAGTCTTTTCATTTCTCATTTTAGGTGGCTGTTTCTCAGAAGGACCCTGAAGTGCACACGATTAACAAGGTGTGAGATTTTTTTAATTTAACCTTAACCTGTAGCTGCCAGCGAACATACTGTCATCTGATAAAATAATCTTAAAGCTGCACTAATCACTAAGTGATTCTCTCAAGTCTCATTTTTTCTTTATTAACAATGGATTAAATGAGTGATGTTTTAATTTGAAAGGAGTCTCTCATAGCAAGTAACCCATAGAGAATTATTACCCTCTACAAAGCATTTTAGCGTTGTTCAGCTTATTGTTTTGGTCTCATGGCCTGCAACTGTACAGTCTTGGTTCATTCTCAGGCTCACATCAATCCTGTTAATAGCTGCTGCAGACAGCTTTCTTCAGCAAAACGGCAGACAGACACAGTTATCGATTAGCTGGCGAGCGTAGTGGAGCATTTAATAGCTACAGAGCAGGGTTATCCCCTCAGAAGTTGGTGGGGACGAAAACAGATGGATTCATTAGATGAATACTAATGTGACTCCAAATGAATTCTAATGTTTGTCTAAATATGCAAACGTTTGCTAACGTGACCACTGTAACATAGTGACGAAATGTCAGTGTTGAGGTTACTGCTTGTTGTCAGGCTTAAGATCCACCTACTAGATTTTTCTGGATCTTTTGACAGCTTTCAACTGTGATGTCATGCAGATGTCTCAGTTGTCATCATGTGACCAGAGTATGAAAATTCAGTCAGGTGATAACAGGTGGTCGTATAAAGGGGGAGATTGTGAACCCTGTCTCTGTTCAAAGATGTTATGGCCTCCTGTTCTGTCTTGACATTATCTTCTGGTTGAAAGCTCTGAAGAAAGCCAATAAGCGGACCTTGAGTTAAGATTATATTGTCAAAGGTAGAGAATGAACTTTCACGCTCATACTGTGGTCTGTCAAAGGAAAAACCAAAGCTATACCAGCCATTACAACTTTCCATCTGCAGTGACATTATTTCCACTGTGGTTATGTTGTGATGTGATGTGTTGTCCACTAGGTGGTGAAGCAGCCCGGAGGTTCTGGTAGCCAGCCTGTAGTCAGCCCCAAGTACTGTCCTGGAGTAAACAACAATCCAGGTTACCTGTGTGAAACAGGACACTGCTGCGGAGAGACAGGCTGCTGTACCTACTATTATGAACTCTGGTGTGAGTCAACTTACTGACTTTATGTCCAATGTGTCACTGTAGACAGCGGCCTGAGGCAATGGTGGTATTTTGTGACATTTGTCATCCAGTCCTACCAGGAAGTTTCAAGTGAAAAATTCGGGACACACAAAAATCTGATGTTTGCTCACATTGCCATCACAGGTTATAAGAGATATTTTGGCTCGCCATGTGATTGGATTTCTGCTGTATTATAACATTTAGGTATAGGTAATGAATGAGCCCTGTCCCTGCACATTCATTTTGATTTTAATTTTTATGTCGTTTGTTTAATTTTCATTCGTTTAACTCAAACTAAACTCAAAACTAAAAGGCTGCCATAGATAAAGATTTGAAATAAACGCTAGGAGGGACATTATGCAACATGTTGCAATGCTATCTAGTTAAATTTGCATTCTGATTAGAAATCCCTTTGAGATGACAAATTTGGCTTCACTGTCAGGCTCATTTAACACTGGCCATTTACAGTTAAAGTAAAGGTTTAAGCACATGCTTACATTGATACCAAATGATTTATCTGCTCTGCTCTCCTGCCGCTGTGAGCTACTAAAAACCAATGCGTTCGTGCAAATGAATGGAAACAAAGTGAGGATATAAATCCAAAGTCGTAGGGTATGCTTTAGAAAATGGACAGCTGTAATTTGAAACATAATAATTTTGTATGTTATAGGGCGAGATGTCCAAAACCACTGACGCCGTCTTTTTTTTTCCTCTGTGAAATCTGAGTAGATCTGGGATGTAACTGAGAGAACAGAGCAGAACTTTAATGTTTATTTTCACATTGATGAACGTTGGGTTCATTTCCTGTTTTCTTCAGGGTTCTGGCTTTTGTGGACGGTGCTGATCCTCTTCAGCTGTTTCTGTGCTTACCGCCACCGCCGGGCCAAGCTGAGAATCCAACAGCAGCAGAGACAGAGAGAGATCAATCTGATCGCCTATAACGGAGCCTGCAACTACCCTTCCTCAATGCTGGACCTCAGTATGTTTGTGTCATCTCAAATGTTTAGCTTTTTAAGTGTAGTTCTACCCAGGTTAGTTCCAGATTTGGCACGTTCTGGTTCCCTTGTGCCTTTTTTTGAAGAAACACAGAATTTAAGCACAACCACATTTCGATCGGTTGGCACTTTTGTCTTATTAATTGTTACCTTGGCAAAAACTTCTCTCAATCCTTTCATATAATATTGAGTATTACAATATCGATATTACACCAAATACAATAAATTATGTTTGATAATACAATAAAATTATTACATCAATCATATAAATATGTTTAATTTGACCACCCATACCACAAAGAAAAGTGAGAGAGTATGTATTTTAATTACACGAAGGGCCCTTTTTTAAAAAAAAAAAATTTATTTTGATAACACAACTCTGACGAACACATAATGCTAGAAAAATAGCATAATTTATTGAACACTATCTTCAGTGTTAAACAATAAGGCTGGTGTTATTCTACATTTTAACTGTCAACAAGTTCCATGAAAAGACCAAAACCTACAATGTGCTCGTCTGTCCCCCAGTACTTGCTGACTTCCACAGCCTGTCACCGTTGTCGCTCAGCCCCAAGCCCATTTGTAAATCTGTAAAATGTGTTACAAATATATTGTTTCTTTAAAAAACACTAAATGGTTTAGTAAACAGCCCGGCAGTTTTTAGTTTTAGTTAGTTTGTACTTTTTAGTAGATTTGTTGAGGACCATTTTCAGCTGAGGATTAATACACATTTAGTGCAGCAGTGAATATTTACTGCAACAGGAAACCCAGTGGAAAAGTGTGGCTCAGTGATGTGTACGTAATAGTTTAAGGACAATGATGGAGGTTTATAGCACAGCTGATACTTATTAGTCTTTGTTTTGATATTTTCAAGTGATTTGTTGACAGTTAAACAGATAAAATCTTGCCGGTTTGCCCCGTCTGAGCTGATGTTTCCTTTGTCGCAGGCTTCCTGGCTTCCTTCAAGTTGCCCTCCTATGAGGAGGTGGCTGCACAGCCCAGCACCCCTCCTCCGCCTTACAGCTCTGTCTTTGCCCTGCAGGGAGGTACCATGGGGGCTCCAAGCTCTTCTTTCCCCCATCATCACTACCACCGTCACCCCTGCCCTCCCTATCTGGGCCCTGGCCCCAGCGGCCTGACTTCCTCCCAGAGCTCTGACAACTGCTACACCAGCTGCTCCTGCGAGTCCTGCTCCCTCACCTCCCCGTCGAGCACCTCCTTCTCTGTCCAGGTGACAGACGAGACGTACGACAGCAGCCACAACTCCACACCCAGCGAAGCAGGGGGCGACTGTTCCATCATGGGTTCAAGGGCTGGGGCCACCTTCACACCGACGCCCTCCCCGCCGCCTCCATCACAACTACCGCCTGATGTTATACCTGTGGCCTCTCCAGATGTCATACCTGTGCAGAGACGTTCCAATGGCAGTGAAGGACTCTCACCTCCGGCTCCACCACTGTTCCTTCCTTTACACTCTCGTCCCTCACACCCTTCTCGCCTCTCACTTTCTCCCCTCATGCTGTTATCTTCCCTCCCTCCTGGTCAAGTCCACCCTCTTGTCCTCTCAGACCCACTTGGAGCCATGGCTGTTAAGAAAGAGATGGAAGAAGAGGCCTCACCTAATGGTGCAACCCCCAAGCCCACGCCTTCTCCCCCTAAACAGGCTCTCTTCTCCTCAAATGTGGCCGTTTTCACGCATCGCAGCAGCAAAGAGGAGCAGAAACAAGAAAAAGAAGAGGAGGAGGAGGAGGAAGAGGAGGATGACGAGGAGGATCATTTCCGGCATCGACGTCTAACGGGTGACTCAGGCATTGAGGTGTGTCGCTGCCACGTGAAGAGAGAGGAACAAGAAGGACAGGAACTGCAGAAGGGGCATTTTGCTAAAGGGGGTAAAGAGGCTGTGAAGGGGGAGGAGAGGGCAGATGTGCTGCACGACAGCATGGACTGTTCTCTCCTGGATGACTGCGCTGAGCAGCGTGGCCACGTCTCCTCATCCTCCAGTGTCATCCAGAAGACGGGCGAGGCCATTATCGCAGTGGAGTTCTCGTAGGCTGACAGCCAGTGAGATGTCGTCAAAACAAGTGGGAAAAAAGTGAGATGTTAATGCGTACTGGCCTCCTTACAGATCAAGACTAGTAGGTGAAAAGTTGAATCACTGAAGAAAAGTCTTGCAGGTCTTAACGGTTGCAAGCCAAGGGATAGGATGAGAAATAGATTATTTCCTGTGTGTTCTGTTTCAAAGGAGAACCTGACAGCTGAGTCATATTTTGTAGTTAGTTGATTTGGTTCGTGGTTTAGGAGAAAGCATATCTTGTTCTCTAAAGTGATGAAAATAATAATGAATTGTTTTTTCTTTTTCTCCTTCACTTTCACACATGCTAACTAAATCCATTTTGACAAGTGGCTCGGTGTCAACATACCAACATCCTTTTTATCTCTCTTTTCTCTGCATGACGAAACATTGCTAAAATAGCATTTTTAGCTTTTTGCAATGAAATCCCTGATAGTCTGTGGTTCCCAATCCGGGGGGTCAGGACCCCTCAAAGGGGTCTAAAGATAAAGCAGAGGGGTCGTAAGAGGATTAACAGTGTAAGAAAGAAAAAAACATAGTTCTGCTGTACAGAATTATATGATATTTTCTGATGTTTCTCTAATCTTTGCTTTTTATTTAAATGTGAAATTACAGATTCATGATTAAAGATAATTCATAGTAAACAATCTGAGAAGCAAAAATCAATCCGTGGTGGAACTGACTGCAAGTTATTGACATATGCAATATATGATGGATCTCAACAAAATATCCTTTCAATTTAAGGGTCATACAGCAAAAAGGTTTCTTATATATCAGTGGTTTGATCAGCAGTTCTTCTTAAATTTAAGAAATCATATTCTCAGAGTAAATTCCGTAAAACTCTGGAACAGTATGTTTTCAAAAGAGCTCAAAAACAAGCATTATATCATCTTGTAGCTTTTGAAGAACTGAAAAGAGTTCAGAAATTTTGATCAGTTATTCAAAATGTTTTGTTGTGGGGTGAATTTTTGCTTTCACCAGCCAACTTCTCTTCATTGGAGGAAACGATGACAGAAGGCAACTATTCCGACTGTTTCCAGGGGTGTGTGTTTTATACATTTATGTTTTATGTTCCCTTAAGGAAAAGGGGAGCAAACTGTTAAAATTGATTAAAATGTGTGGGTGGCACAGCTTTACAATGGTATTATGACTATACATTGTTGTTTCAGACTGTTACTTGAATATACTGTATAATTATCTGACTGTTTGACTTTGGATGTAATGTGTTTGAACATGTTCCTAGTTGGTCATTGCCATCTTTTGCAAGGCAATGTAAATCTGATTCCTCCATGGATGGACTATTGAGTTTTTACAAGGCAGAAACTTTAAGCCCAATCTCATCACAGATAATGAATGTAAAAGGTTATGTATCGCAACAAAAAAAAAAAAAAAAATTAGATTTAAATTGTTTATGGAGAATTTTTATTGCATGATGCTTGACTGAAAATGTCTGGGAAAAGTGTCCAAAACTGCAGCACGGCAATACAAACTGCCAGGTGTGGGCTTTGAGAAGACACTTTGAAACGAAGTGCCCATTGTAATGTGTGTATAATGTGTGCTGAGTAACGCTTGTAAATGTGTGAAGTGAAGGTTTCAAGTCACAGTTAATTTCGGCTGTGGCTAAACAGAGGGTCACTTTTTAGACTTGGGACTGCTTCTGTTCAAATGTGTCCCGGTTGATCCTGTTTTTGTGTGTGAAATCATTTGTCAGCTGATGTCCAGTTGTACAGCGTCTGTCACTAAAGAATAATCTCTGCCTCAGCAGGTGGAGTGTGACACTCGTTATCATGCTGTGTACTTCTTAGGATTATGTGAAGTCAGTCTCAGAACTTAGTGGGAATAGCACACATGTATTCTCTTGTAATTCATTCTCAGTACAAACTGTACTCAAGAATAGAACAAGTTTTAGAAGGAAACAATGTCTCAAATCACATTTTGTACATGTTTGTCTTGCTGTATTTATTATGAGACAAATGTCTCTGTAGTTCATTGGCTAGAGGCCACTTTACTGTGTCCTTGGCTCAGTGCAAAGCTGACTTAATTGTCTAATGCCTGAAGGCAATGCTTTCAACTCATTTATAGTTCTGTGGGCAGAAAACTTTGCCTCGATTCAGCTCTATAATACCTTTATTTGTCAGAGACAAATCATGTGTGTTCGTGTGTACCTTAAAAAGTGTGTAGGGAGTGCAAGCTGGTTTGCATTGCGGTGTGGTTTTGTTATGGGGCTCGTCTCGGCAGCCCTTGATCTTCTTTGTTCAAAGCTCTTGTGCAGTGACTCACAGGTGTGTCTCAGAGGTGACAGAGACTCTTCATCCTCTCAACACATCCACATAAAAGCCTTTCGGCTGCTGTACATTTTTGGCTTAAGACAAAGACGGACTTTCTTTTCATTTTCAATAAGTTTAGCTGATTTTATTTCATTTTTTTATCAAAGTATATGGTGTCTAGATAAAAATAGACTTTCTTTTAGGCATTCCTTAGTTTAATGCTGCTATGTGAATGTGTGTGTTTTCTGTAAATTGTGTATAGTCTTACATCAAATGGGCAAACATTTTCTAGCAGTGCTTGGCAGTCTCTTTGTAAAAATGTACACAGTACATGTGAGACTTGCAAAAATAGTATTTAGCAATAGTATTCACACTTTTTTTTCCTTACTCTAGTTAATGCTGGTTGATAGGAAATAAACTGTTGTGAAAAAGACATTTACCTCTTCATTACTGATCCGTGAGCTGTGCTGGGCAGAGGCCCTTGATTGTACATAACACAGCGTTTTTAATGCCTTTGGCTTAAGGTTTCTCCCAAGTGCAAACTCAGATTATCTGATTTTACCTTAGCCTTGGTTTATGCCTCTCGTGTATTACTATTATATTTGCGTATACCCAAGTATTTGTGTTTCTGAAGGATAAGTACCTGTTGATCTTTGAAAAACCTGAAGATATTTCCAGTTTCCTCTAAGACTCTTCTGTCTATCCTGATGAAAAAAAAGAATCAACCTTCTACTGCATTATACAAAAGATTTTTAACCCATTTCCCAAGTTGAATTTTTTTTTATATCACGACAACAATGGTAGCTGAAAATAGGTCAGGTCCTTGCTCCATTTGTATGACATCATACAAAGTTGTATTTTCTATAAAGCTGCTTTTTTTTCAGCATATTTTCATGGAAGATAATGCATTCATTAGGTCCTGATTCATATGTTACATCTTGTTAAGCTAAAGGCCAAAAATCTTTAGTTGCACATTTGATAACTGGTATTGTTTGTCCGGGTAATGAGGATGGCAATAATATTCAGGAGCAAAACAATGTAAACTGTGTATTCTGGGAGAAAGTGGGTGTCTAAAATATCAAATGATCAAAAATTGGATTGATTACTTTTATTTGTTTAAGGTTTCTCTTTAACTAAAAGCCAAAATGAATTACTGCAGTGTTATACAGGACATGTTTTTTCATATAGACATGAAGCTCAGACTTTATTGTGAAAATAATTAATCTAAGTTTTTTTAGTTAGGGAATTTTTGAGGTGCAGTTTTGTAGTATGCAGCATTCTGGATCTGGCCTTTATGAATTGTCAGTACCTTTTAAGCCCAAACGTGTTGGGCAAAGTTGTATTTGTAATATATAGTATAACAAAACTGCATTCATTCATATAAATTTTTTTGTACTAAACAATAGAAAATATCGTAGGCAGGAAATAAAGTTGTGACTTAGGAAAAGGACTAAAAATCTCTTATTGTGCAGTCGACTGAATATTTTTTATCTAGTTGGACAGAAGAGTTGCTGAAGGTTGTGAAAGTTTAATGACCTGGGTTTTTTCAAATTCGTTTTTTTTTTTTTTTTTTAGGAAAAAACGTTGTTTAGCTCTGTGACTTAAACATAATGGTAATACATGAAATTTAAAAAACTGGGGCTAGTTTTACCCCGACTCTGATTTCTCATAGAAGCCAAACTGAGTTCAGTGTATATAGAGCTAGTTTAGTTAAGTATAGCAGCTAGTGTCTACAGACAAAATGCCCAAACTCTACCCTCATTGCCACTGTAGGCCAAGGCCTGATATAAGACTGTTACCTCGCTGAGTTTTGACTGCAAAGGACTGTTTACTTCTCCTTATCAAGATAGTATTTACTCTATATTTGTACTGACTTTATTTTGTAATGCCAAGAATTGATGAAGTGAAAAAAACACACACACACACACACACACACACACACACAGAGCCCACATTGGTACGGCTGAACTAGTTTGCCAGGAAAAAACTAAATATTAATCCCAAAAGCGTTCTCTTTTTCCTCCTGCAGTTATGGGACAGCAGGATTTATAGCAGTATCAATATGTGATTGTATGTGGAATAGTTCAGATTAATATTATGACAAAATGTGGTGTTCTTTGAGGGTATCTTTGTGCAATTCTACCTGCAGCTCTTCAGTGTGTCGTACGCATGTGTGAGAGAGTTATTGTCAGCCGTGTTGTTGTGGCGTTAAATCATTGTCGCTTATTATGAGGCCAAAGTTGAGTGTTGTTGGTATTTGTTAACATATTTGTCGATATAAATATCCAAACATTTTTATGTCATTATGGATATCAAGTTGATTTTGTATCTTGGTGTATAGCATAGAGATTTCTGATGCATACTCTGATGTAAGATCTAAACAATGAGATGCTGACACATTTTTAAATATCTATTTGGTTGCACATCTTTTGGTGCTTTTTCATAAGGTGGGGTTGTATTTAGGTTTTTCTTCCATTTGCCTTTTCTTTTTCTTTTTTTTTTTCATTGATGCCCTTTGGGATTCTACCGTGTTGGACACCGACATCTGCGCTACTTTATTCAACAGAAACTGTGGAATTTGTGTCAAAATAAATGCTAACAAGTGCTACCAAATTCACCTCTGTGCTTTTTGTCTGTAGTTGGGAGTTGCCTTGGGTACCAGCGATGTTCTGCATTGAAACACAGCAAATGTCTAACTTTTATTTAGGCAGGGAGTGAGCTGAAAACACCCACTCATGTGTAGCTGTCACTGTGACTCAGGGTGAATCATCAGGCTGCATTCACACTGAAAGCTTCATCTTTTGAGGAATGAACCACATGAAGAAAAATTAGTAGGAAATCAGTGATTATGTCTTGCTGACAGCACTATGGTATCAGTGCTGACAAACACAGCACATAATATGAGAACATTGACAAGCTTTTGTAGTCATACATGCTTGTTATATATGTATCAACAGCTGTCATATTCCTTGACAAGACCTGTTCATTCGTATCGTTCTGAAACTGAGTAATTTGCTGTCCCACCACAAATATTACTTATTAATACATAAACTGGATTACCAACCAGGCAAAGCAAGTAACTGACGTGCGTCCCCAAAACTCCAGGGACCACAAAAACTCCAGAATGAACTGTCTGTGACCTGATTTAATGTAACTGAAAATTTGCTCGGGAATATGCTTGACCAATTAAGCACAAAATCTACTAATGTGATCTGGGGCCTAAAGGTTGGGCCTGCTTTATTCCCTAATATTGAGGCTTCATCTTGCAGAGGGTTCCTGTGTAAAAATCAAATTTAAAGACCCCCTTTATTTCAGTCATGCGTTAACATGTTGCATAAGAGGAAACAGGTGCACCTTTCTGGCACTGAACTTCAGTTGGGAGCTCTACCTCAGAATGCAGCCATGTCTGTACTTCCCAGAAACAAAGTCAGGAAAAGGTGGCAGTCCAGAGTTCAAAAAGAGCAAAAGAATCTCACCATGTGTTGATCTCTTGTCTGATTTTTATGTACAATCAATAGGATGTTGAAAACTGAATTCAGAGTGGAAGGACGAGAGGTCTAATAGGGGCCCATAAGATCATTTTTGCCCTGAGGATCTCCCGAAAAATGAATCCAGTCATGATTATTACAGCCCTGACATGTTACAATGGGCCAAATGTTGTTCCGCAGAGAATATATTCTGATTCAGATGAAAAGAGGAACCAGCAGATATGGTTGAGGGGAAAAAACAATCCAGAGAATAGTGTAAAAACATGGAATAAGTGATCTTCACGTGGTTGCAGGCGTCTTAGTGAAATGATAGTTGGCTTGTATTGATATATACTGTATATTACTGAATGCTGACCAACCATCAGCAAACTTAGGTTTTTAGCACCATCTGGTGGTGTGATCCTAGATGACAAAAACACTTGTGTACATGTACAGCAAGTTTAACTTTATTTCTCCTTTAAAAAGCTCCTTTTTGCCTTTGTCAGATAGATGAGACCTGAGGGGTAGAGAGGGAGTGAGAAGGAAGAGGACAGGCAACACAGTACACACGCCAATTACATCGTCAGCATCTCAAACCCTTAGATCCCACCAAAAGATATTGATTTTAAAATAAAAAAAATTAACAAAGGTTGTGGGTTTGCGCAACATCAAACCCGAGCAAGCACTGCTTTGAACAGGCTGATGATGAAATTTAAAAAAAAGCACAGACAAGCATGGATGCACTGAGGTGAACACCCAAACATCTGGAACACCACCCACAGTTTTCCATCCCTCCAGCAGCCACTGCGTTTTGCTGCAATCTCCATAAAAGAGCATTACAATGCTCGAAAAGAGTGTAATTAAAATGTTTGACGTCACAAACGGGCAAATAGTGTGTTAAACTGATCCAACTTGATGCAACTTGATGTAATGAATCTTAATGGATAAAATATTTATGAAAGAAAAAACACTGTTCACCACAGAATGAACAAAAGGAAGGAAAATTAGAATAATTAAATAAATCAAAATACCTCATCGCCATGACAATAAATCAGAATAATGAAAAGGTATATAATAAGAAAGCCATATATTAGGCGATTTTTTTCCTGCTCAATGATTGGTCAGAATGGACCAGCACCCACCCCCTCTTCTGACCACTCCCCATCCGCGTTTTCTCCACGTGACTTCTGCTCGGATCGCTCTTGCAAAGTTAAAAACAGACTTTGTTTATCTTGGTGGCTGTTTGCTGAAATGCTCTCCGTCTAGTTTACCTGCTTTCCTCTCCTAACCTCAGCTTCGTTAGTTGACTCTTCCCAGCACTACACGCTGAGAGGAGTGCTAAACTATTGCATTTATCTGCTTCACTCTTCAGCATTTCTGGTCTCTTTGTAATCCAATTTCATATTTTTTTTTTGTTCTCTTCAGCTGAGACCGTGCTGCACGAAAAAAGGAATCAGAAAGACTTGAGTTTTTTTTTTTTTTACCCCCTCCGTCTCGTGCAATTTGTTAAAAGACTGTTTTGCGATAAACAGCTTGCTCTGCAGACGTGTGTCTGGCAGTTTTTGGGGGATTTGTTGCAGCTGAAGGCAGGAGGAGCGCACCGTCCGTTGAGGATCTTTAATCGAGCATTCGGAGAGCGCCATGGCGACCGAAGTGGATACGTGGTCCACCGCTCCGCAAGCCGACGGTGAGTGAAATGCACCGAGCCGCGCGCTATGTAGCCGCGCTTTGGCGCAAAGTCTCGGGGAGCCACCGCTGGGCCTGCTGGCGTGCTCTCCCTGATCCATTGTCCCTGCATGGGATGGGCTGCAGCGCCAGCCATACTCCACCATGTGCTCCCATTAAACCAGACACACACACTTTCTCTCAATCAATCTCTCTCTCTCTCTTTCTCAACACACTCACACGCTCAAACCGAGCACTGGTGCAACAATCACTGCTCACTGACGCAACGTTGCACTTTCGACAACGCAACTAGAACCGAACTCCATTAGCATTTTTGTTTAGCTTTTCTGGAGCGTTGATACTGTTGTTTGTTGTTGAACTGCTTTCACATTTAACCCTTTCACGTTTCTGATTGGACGAGGCCACAGTGCTTACTTCCGCTTTGACAAGTCGTTGTGTGCACACTGGCTTAGCTGCTGTGACTTTCCTCTGCAGCTAAATCAGTAAATGCATGACAGAAAATGAGCTGTTTTGGTTCCTGACCCCCCCACCCCCCACTCCCCAGTATTGTCACCGTTCCTCAGTCTCGTATATATGTCAATACTTTTTCTGTTACTCTGGCTATTTAAACCTTTATTTAGACAGAGACGCAGAACAAATTTGACGCCCCTATCCTTCCGAAATGTAGATTTCTTTGATAAGATATATGCTTACAGAACAAATCCGCGCTCTGTTTACTTTTCACGCAAATCAAAAACAGGATGCGAGATTCACCAGACGTGTTCACCTCACCCCGTCAGTTTGACACACTCCATAGTGTGTGTGATTAGTGGTTTCAGCCATTGCACAGTGGCTTGTTTAAACGATATTTGAGCTCATGGCACACTGGGTTCCGTTTTCCTCTCTCAAGCCTGGCCGTGACGTCGACACGTATAGCCTACTATAAGAGCCAATAGGAAAGCCTTACATAATCTCTGCGCTGCTGTTTATTGGAAGGTTACGTAAGAAATATAGTTAGCAGGTTTATAATGTGTCAAAGTGACATTTCACATGTGTGATAAACGTTTAACCTCAAATATTAAATACCTTGATTGGGGAAAAAAAAACACTACAGCTGATTCACCTGAGGTTACACAGAGGTAAATCTGTGACCATGTGAGACACCACATGGTTTGTTTCTTGCTTGTTATGGTACTGTTTAGTGTGTGCGCGCATATGTGTGTGTAAAAGCAGCACAGATGGGCTTTCCTGCATGAACTTGACTGGCCTATTTTCTCAAGGAGGGTCAGCCACGCTTGATGGAGCAGCCTCTGTTGATGAGGTGGTCACACACACGCTGTCAAAGACTCTATTGTCTGAGCTGAAAGGAAAATTAAAAAAAAAAAGACGAAAACAATCCCTCTATATGTTGTGGGGTCACACTGGACACTGAACTCACACAACACTATGGGGAGTGTGTAAAACTTCCATAGTAGAACATGGATCTGCCCAAATGATCAGTCATTTAGGCTTCAAAGGCCTTTGTGTCATCCGTTTCAGGCTTGAGACTGGTGATTACAACTAAGCTACCAAACTACAGATTAATCATCAGATCTTAAAGTCATGTCTTAAAATTGTTAGTCTGGCGAGTGGCCAAAAAAAGCCCCGTATGAGGCATAACGGAACAACCTACAGGGAGGTACATAGTTGTCTCAGTCAAGTAGTATCATCATTTTTTTGGTGTTTTGTCTTAATTAATAACTGAGATGAGAAATGAGATTTAAAAATAAGGCATGAATCATTTTATGTTAATGGCCTGCTGGCTTGTCAAGTAGTGTTTCACCACTTATCTGTATGGACTGGGCGACTTTTCAAGTGACACAGAGCCCATCTGTGCTGTGATGAGTGCCCTATAGGTGCAGATTTAAAGCCGGTGTCGAGCCCCACATGTGGGAACATTTACGTAACTCCTTGGATAAATACATGCATCATGGAAGAAGCCCCCTGACATAAATGTCAAGCCAGATGTCTTCGTGGCCTGCTGAGTACACATTATGCTATGGCCTTTGCCTTCTCTTCTTTTGTTAACCCTCTTGCCTTACATACATTCATGAAAACAATGTTTGCACACACCATCCGTTTGCATTAAGTCCTTTAAGTTTGGAAACCGAACAAACCACCCGTGCAAAGTAAGTGGTTTACAGTGCACCAGTGGAGGCAATTGGTTGAGCATTAGAAAAAACAAACCACACACACTTTATCAGACTGTTAACCGTTTATCTGAGTATCTCTAATCTTTTGTATGCACCTCCCCCTTGCCCCTTATCAGTGTTGTCACTCTGCAGCTGTTACAGAGGCTGACTCAAGAAGCATAGTCAGCAAAAGTTTCCATTAAATGAAAACTTTCATTCTTCTCTCACTGTATTGTTGAAGAAAAGAGACAAAACATTGCTTCACACGTGGCAACTCATGTACCCGTGTTTGTGTATCATGTGTGGCCAATTTCTCATTTTCTGTTGTCACGGTTTTTATATTTAAACACAAATCCACCATATGCAAACAAGTTTAGGTGACACATCTGAAATATGTTTTTCTGTAAAAAAAAATGTGGCTGTGTCTCCTTTCATTGGATGAAATGACAGTTAAACCCCCAGGACAGCCACACCCGTTGCTCCCTGTGATAGATAATCACCACAGGGCCACATACTGTACAGTAGGGCTGCTTGACCTTAGAGGACATCACACATGTGTTGACTGAGAAAGCTGAGTAGATATTTACCCGTTTGACCTGTATTTAACCACATTGTTCTACTGAGATTTGAGAGTCTCTTCTAAGAGAACTCCAGCTAAAATGGCGGCATTTCTATTTTTTTTGGAAAATAACATAGAAGCATGAAACAAAAAGGAGAGGAATGGGGGAAAAAAAGAAGGAAACATGTAAAAGCATAGCAAGCAAGAATTAAAAACAACATAAAGTTGTCTAAATGTACAGTTTCGGTCTGTACTTGTGCAAAGCTCAACACGGTCTGTGCATGTTAGATTTACACAAGACTGTGACCAAAAGTTGATCCAGTGAATACGGTGCTGGCAGTCTTGGATTTGTTGCTACATATTTCTTAAGATGCACAGGGATTCATAAGTCTTTGATAGTTTCCTCAGCGTCTTGACTGACCCCGAATCAAAGCAGTTAGTGGGGTTAGTTGAAGCTTTTTTTAGAGTTGAAATTCAAAACTAATCTGCGTCATCTGGTTAATGATGGGTTACAGTCCTTACTGTAAAGATTCCCTCCAGACATGTTTTTAAGATGTTATGTTAATACTGTGCTTTGAATGATATTTTGGAAATGACATCTACAGTCTTCTCCCACATTGAAAGACAATCCACAATTGAGGAATTTGCAGATATTTTTAATTTTGTGTATGTGCACTGGAGGCTTTGTGTTTCCACATCACACTTGTTGGTTGTGCACAGAACAGTAATTGATTTCGAACCAGTTGTAAAGTCAGAAAATCCTGCTCATGAGTACGCGTCTCAAACTCCGATTCAAGGCGAGCACAGAAACTTTCCCCCCAAAACAGTGTCAAACTCTGCAGGGTGAAGTAACAAGAAGGAAAAACACATTTTTGAGTGGAATGACACTTTAAAAATGATGCTGCATTTCACAGATTCTCCCCCAAAATTACACTAACTCGTGCTTAGCCTACAGTTGCATTTATGGTTTTGAAAACTAGGTCCACCCTGAGCCTAGGTGTGTGAAATCCCTGCTCCACTGACCTCCTTCTCATTCATAAGCACTGCCACTGTATGGATGCCTAAAAGTAAACGCCTCAACACTGCAGCTCGGCCTCACCGGCTGTGTGACGCTCCCACGCAGCATGTAGGGTAGAGGTCCTCTGCTGGTCTGCATCTGCCTGTGTGTTTCTTTTTAAAAACTGGTTAACTGTGGGGGCGATTTTGAAAACCATCATGACAGTGTTGAGTGGTTTGATAGTTTTGTTGCTGTACTCTGGGTTTAGATAGCAGAGTGCAGCTTTATGCGACTGCGACAGTGACACACAGGCCTACCGTTGTTGAGTAAGGACAACAGCTCTTTTTAGCAGCTACAGTCAAGCTCTGCGTTACAGAGGCACATGGTCTGTGTGCCGTGTTTTTTAGAAAGTTAGTTAGCTCGGCTGCATTCTGTTACGCTTGTTTTGCAACTCTTGTCTTGGCAAATGGCTCCGACTTTTTCTGCCTTCTCATTTTTCTGCTCTTTTCCAGTTGGCCGGTCGTGTGTTTTGGCACGCTGCCATTGGTTAGTTCCTAATTTACAGTGCTGGCAGGCCCTGTGGCCTCCATGAGGGGAGGAGGTAGAAGCAGTAGAAGGAGCAGATGACACATGGTCGGCTGTTTACAGAGTTTTGAAGGCCAAGGGTGTGGTGCCTCTCTTTCTACAACAGGTTAATTCAGGGAGGTGTCGTGTTTTTCCTCAAAGGTGTTTCCTTTCATTTGTTGCTCACATTCTTGAGCTGATTGAACTCTGCAAAACTTTGAGCTCATGTAAAAGTAGGTTGTAAAATAACTGTTTTTGTATAACGACTTCAATTGCAACCATTTTTTGTTTTTTGTTTTTTTACAGCAGACGAGCTGCTGCTGCTTTTTAGATTGTTAGTTTTATCTGTGGCTTGGACACGTTCCCCTCTCCTCCCTCTGTGTGTTTTTTCTACATCTCCTGTAATCTATAGGGCCATAATTCCTCTAACTGCCGTTTGGGCCCATGCATAAGGGATCTAAGTATTCATTACAGCCTCAGAAATTCCTCCACCTCCTCCTCCTGCTCTCCTACAGCCCCGTCATGTGACCAGTCATGGTCCCAACCAAGCCATATGTAGTCAGGTCCACTCTGGCTGCCGCCAACAGATCGCGAGAAGACAGAGGAATAAAAAAAAAATACTGGTGTCAGCATTTCTCCAACATGTGCTCCTCTTTGCTCCCTCCCTCCCTCCCTCCCTCCCTCCCAGGCCTGCAGGAACACTCCAGTACCACTTGTTGTTGTTGTTGTTGTGTCTCTCTCCTCACCTACAAGAAGCAACCTGAGATTAGATTCCTAAAAATCATAACTGTTTCTACCCCCCACAGACAGCATATAGTATATTATAGTTCCTAGTGTATGTAGTTATTTGACACATTGACCCATCTCACATCTGCTAACAGAGCTGGTGAGTGTCGCAAGAAGTGTGTGTGTGCGTGTGTGTGTGAGAGAATGAATCCTCTGTTGTGTTCTGGGTGTTTGTGTGACCTTTGCCCTGATGTGTAAAAGACGGCCATGACATATGAAGGTGGCTGTCGCACATGCAGGCAGAGCACATTGTTGTTATGCCCTGAGCTGCTGTTGTTACTGCAGTGTAAAGCTGCTCATGCAGTTTGCTGAATTCACACTAGATAATCTGTCACGGTTGCAGTGCAGGTAAATCCAAGTCAAACAATATCAGCAAGTTAAGCACTGAGATTCTTTCTTTTTTTCCTTTTTTCCCCAGCAATAATATGTTAAGCATTACTTTGTCTTTTCAACAGAATGCATCCCCCTGAGTGCAGCTAAGCCACATTAAACAACCTACTGCATTTTGTTAGTTGTTGTTGTTGTTGTTGTTGTTGTTGTTGATGTTGTCAGATCCTTTTTAGACTTTAGGCTTTACAAACATCTCTGACAGACACAGTCTGTTTGCAGACAATATTAACTTGTTGCAGCCCAGCGTGCAGAGCTGGGCCATGAAGTTGTTTAGCGCAGTTTTTACTATCAGTGTTTCAGCAGCTGTAAAAAATGGCATACTTATGTAATTGATTCACTAGTGTAGATGAGATAACTTTTATCTGAATATTTCAAATTATTATAGCGATATTCGTTTTTGGACACAGAAATGAACTAATGTGTAATAGAGACTCACATATTCTGACTAAAGATTCTGTTAGTGTTTCTTTTTGAGTGGTTAACATTCTTATTAAAGAATAGAATAGAAAGAGAGAAAAGTATAAATCCACCAGAAGTAAAATTATACCCATTTACACTACTGGGCCAAAACTAAGGTCAAACAAAGTACAAAGACACTTAAACGTGACACTTATATACGAAAGTTGAACACATAACATCCGTCACTTAGGAAGGCTTTCTGGAGCATTTTGGAACCGGGCTTCAAAGTCAGAAAACCAGGGCCGAGCAGTTAATCAGAATATTATTGACATCACAATATGGCCAAGTGCAATATCCAAATTGCAGGAACTGCATTTTAAAAAAAAAAAAAATTTTTTGATAAAAGATAAAATGTTTCTCAACATACCATAAATGAAGCGTTGTGGTGCTACAAAGATGCCCCGGCCAACATGTCATGACACAACTCATGTTCTCCAGATGTAAGTGAACATGCTTCTCATGATTCATATCGCAATGGCAATATCTGCCAAAATAATCACAATGGGATTTTCGTTCATCCCTATAGAAAACCATTTCTTCATCAACCTCACTTTATGCACTGGAACAGAAAATGGAAAGGGCCTTTTCCGTCCTTTTGCCACAAAAATGAAACAATACTCTTGTTTAAATATCAGTTTGTTAAAGAATGATTAATTGACCTCAGTTTAGTGGAATTACAAACTGTCCAATCGTCTAACAAAGTTGTTAACAGCAAACCATCTGTTTCAACTCTCTGATTACAGGGATGTTCTCTTTCGACGACAACCTGGCGGGGGCTAACCGTCCCTACAGCGATGATGACGACGCGCTGAATGAGGCGGAGGTGAACGGCAACTGGACGCCCCAGGAGAAAGCGCTGCACGAGGCGCGGCTCAAAGCCAAAGCCAAGCGCCGCCTGCGCAAGTCCTCGTCCCGCAACTCAACCAGCGAGTCCATCTCTGAGTCAGGAGATTTGGCAGGAAGCGACCCACACAGTCCAAAAGGCAAAGTCAACACCAACGACCGCAAATCCAGGACGGGCAAGGGCAGAGGCCTGCCAAAAAAAGGTACAGCTGGCAGAGGCAGAGCAGCACATTTTTACACAGCTGGGGAAAGTTCAGCTTTGTAGAGGAGTACTGAAGACACAGACTTCCTCTTTTTTGAGCAACAGTAACAAATAACAGATGGTTCACACGTTGTACTGCTAGAGTTGAAAAGGAAAAGGCACTGATAGAAATGCTCCCAGTTATAAAGACTGGCCATGAAATGAGTCAGTGGTTTGTGTATGGGCTGATTGTTCACAGTGACAAGCTGGAAACACTGTGTGTTTCATGACCTGCCTTTTATTAGCTGCACAAACTATATAACTATAAAAAGTTATATTGGTGAGCTCCCCTCACGGTTTGTTTGCTGTCTGGTTGTTCGGCAGGTGGGGCAGGTGGGAAAGGAGTCTGGGGGGCTGCTGGGATGGTTTATGAAGATGAGGAGCCTGATGTACGGGATCCTAACTATGATGAATCTGCCCAGGTGAGTGAGTGTGACAGACCATGTCTCTTCTGGGTTTTAGATTGTGGATACCTTTGTGTGCATGTTTACTGGACTGGACTTCCATTGAAATTTGAGACATTTGGTTTTGTGCTTTTAGTTGATAAAAATTCCTTGTCTTTAAGAAAACCTGATACATGGGAGCCAAGTAAAAACGTGAAATAGTATTTGTCCACATCATCCAAGAAAGCTTGTACAGTTTGACGATCATTAAAGTTGAGTTGCAGCCACCATTACTTACATTTGGAAAAATCTGCCAATACTTTTCTCAGATGAGTTGTGGCTGATGATTGTTATAAAATGGGAGATTTGAGAATTTAAGGTGAGTCTAAGGTAATGTCTTCAAATTGTTTGTTTAGTCCAATCAACAGTCCAAAACACAAAGATAATCAACTTACTGTCATATGAGACAAAGAAAAGCCACACATCCTTATATTTGAGAGGAATTATTAAGATTAGTTTATTTTCATAACAGTTGCACATTCATTTTCTGATTTAATTGTTTCAACTCGGCTTTAAAGAGAAGCAGTCTTTCTGAAGTGCCCTGAAGAAATTGGCTTCAAAACACTGACATGACTCAAGCGTCAGCGATCTTTACACACATCCTCCCACCACCGTTACCCCCCCCCCCCCCCCCCCCTTTCCCCCCCCCCCCCCAAGTGATGAATGAGCGTCACCAGCATAGGTTGGTTCATCACTGTTGTTGGTTGGTCAGACCCGCTGTTGTTGGGGCAGCCTTTTGTTCCAAAGAGGACCACTGATCAAAGCTGTGTGTGTGAGTGAGGTGTATTGGATGACAGCTTTTATTTCTTGTGTCAAACAATGTCGTTGAAAGGACGCTGCTGCTGCGACGACGCACTGAATAGAAAAGAGGCTTCGCCCTGTGAACAAGATAATGATTGTCCACACTCAGACAACAAGCATATGTACTCTTGCATCTCTGATGAATTACAGAATGTCGTTCTCTCTTGTCATTGATTGCAATTTCTCAGATGGCATACGATCAAAGACAACATTGTTTTTCTGTCATTTATACTGCATTGTTAATCTACTGGTAATTACAAAGCTGTTTTTATATCAAAAAATCCTCATCATTTGGCCGAAGCTCGTTTACAGCACGCCTCCTCACATGCTCGTTTGATCCAGATGGCTCTGTCCCATCATGATCAACAGTGTTTTCAATCTTTAACCCTGTTATCAAGCGAATGCTCCGTGTGATGCTGTAGGCCAAGTTTGTTGGTCTGCTGTTAATGGTCAGGCTGACTGGATGCAGAGTGGGAAAGGAGCTTCTGTCGGGAAGGAGTTGATAAGGGTTTGGGAACGGCTCAGAAAAGCCAGTGGGATTTGGCCTTGAATGTTGCAGGAACGTAGTGGAAAGATGTCAGTGTGTTACAAGGGAACTGGGACAGAGTGGCACAAAAAAAACAGATGGGACGTGTGCAGATAGTGACCTCTTGAATCAGGCTGAGGGGATCACCTGATGAAGGATTTCTGAATGGAACAGGGCATCCTGTCCTTGGGAAATTGAACCAATCCTTGCTTAAAATATCAATGGCCTCCATGTGAGGACAAAAAAATACAGTTTTTTTTTCTCTCTTTTGCCTGTACTTGGCCAGAAATGATTGTTTTGGGTCCCTCCCATCATCCTCTACAGTCAACAGTCACTTCACGTAACACGAGTGGAAAACAGGAAGATGAATCAGCTTGTTGAACTCTTGGCTATAATCTTCCTTTATACCAAGATTTATTTATTATTTTCCCTGTTACATGAGCTTGGCCTCATCAGAGAAGGGGAAGACAATAGAGCGATTATTTAAATGCTCAAAGTTTTCCAGGACGTTGAAGTCATTTGACCAGCTCTCCAGGTTGAGTAACATCTCACCACAAAAAGTTAGTTGGACTGGTTTTGACCGACATACTTGGCATTCATTTATGCAGTATGGAAACAGAAGAGAGAAGTTGGAGTTACTAGTGCGCTTTACAGAAGGACAGAAAAGGGACGGATAACACAGGCATTTTAAAGAAAATTCCACTGATTCCACTGGAAGAAAAAAAAAAAAAAAAAAAAAGAAAAATTTTTATGGCGTGGTATAACTTTTCCGAACTGGTTAAACATTAATTTAAATCCTCATATTGTATATTATTGGCTTCTGATTTTTGTATTTTTTATATATAACTGACTCGAATTGATATTGAGCTTTCAGTCGGGTTGTAGGGTTTAACTTTCAATGGTCAATGCTGGATATGATTTATAAAAAAAAAAAAAGCTTGCAATAATTCATATGCATCCACTTTGTTGTGCATATTTGTGTACGTGAATGGATTTTTCTTACTGATGATGGCGTGTCTGTTCTTGCACAGGGGGACACAGTTTATGCAACAGTTGTGCCAGAGGTTGATGAGAAGGAACTGGAAAAAATGGTCAACCCAATTGTGCAGGAGTACTTTGAACATGGAGACACAAAAGAGGTCCAGGTAAAGGATTTCAGATGAAGCACTTCCTCATCCCTTCACTCAGTGCATGCTGACCTGTCTTTAGAGAATAGATGGATGGACGTCTGTAGCAGTATTGGTTAGAGATAGTTCTGTAATCTCTATGTATTTCAGAGTTTACACTTGTATAATGTACATTATTAATTCAGAATTGAGAGGTTGACTCCACAACAATCTTTTTTTTTTTGTTTTCTTTCCTGTCAGATGTTGCTGAAGGGGCTCAACTTGGGCCCCCATAAGTATGAGTTCTCCTCCCTGGCCGTGTCCCTGTCCCTTGAGGGCAAAGCCAGCCACAGAGAGCTGACCTCCCGCCTGCTCTCTGATCTGTCGGGCAAGATGCTGTCACAGAGTGACATGGCCCGAGCCTTCGACAAGATGCTGAAAGAGCTACCGGACCTCATACTGGACACACCGGAGGCTCCACAGGTAAAACTGATACACAGAGGAGAAAGCAGCAGATATGAGCCACTGATTTCCATTCAGTGGATCTATAATTGTTTTGTGCGCATAAGTAGCTCTTAAGTGGGAGGGGACACGCTGCACTTAAAAGATTAAATGTGACACAACATGCATTCAGTAGTCTTTCTCATGAAATCTCATGAGGTACTGACTGGTGTTACACGCACCACTTGAGATTTTAACACCAGTAACTTCCCCGTCTCACAAAGACACTGATAGTAGCGAATTAAACACTGAGGTGTGTTTTCAAGAGTGATTTTCTTTCCACCCTTGCTGTTTTTTTTATGTCTGTGTGTTAGCAGTTGAGAATGTCATCAAAAGCCAAAAAATCACTTGCTTAAATCATCATCTGTGCTGAGTGTCTGTTGTAATTACCCTAGAGAAATGTTAGTCTGATATTGTGAATCAGTCTAGATAATCTTTGTAGTTTGTCTAGAAGGTTTCCTGTGTGTCTCCAGTCAAAGGATTCAGTGACGTTGCACTGTGTCTGCACGTCGTCATACTGACAGCATATTGGACTTGTGATATGCGATATGGGGAGACTTCCATGTTTCTTAAAAGATGTTTTCTCTTTCAGATGTTAGGCCAGTTCATAGCCAGAGCCATAGCGGACCACGTCCTCCCCATGTCTTTCCTGGACTGTTACAAGGGCAAAGTGGACTGTGAGCACGCCAGGTGAGCCATGACGAGCAAAGTCAATGTGCAGAGAGAAAAAAAAAATCAACCTCAAATATAAGAGCGAATTTATGTTGTTTGTTTTATGGTAAGATGAGCAAACCAAGATAACGGATGTAGCAGAAATACACTTTGGCATTCCTCCTCCGTGTGTTGAAAACAGCTGCTGCTTTACACTTTCTTTAAAGAGGAACAGATGTCTTCCTTTCCTGTGGTTCTATGTGGCTGTCGGATAACGTTTACGCACAATGAAACGTTATTTGTTGTGGTGCTATCTTGGTCATTTTGGACCTCCATGCTAAATTGGGAAAATCCCTCCAGTCTTTTTTTTTCTTCAAAATTATTAGACGTAATGTAAATACACTCTCCCCATTTTTGATCATATGAAAAATCATATTGCGGTTGTGGTCTTTTTTTTTTTTTTAACTGTCTTTCCAGAGTGGCTTTAGACCGTGCTGCAGTGCTGCTGACCATGAAGACGAAGATTATGCGTTTAGACAATGTGTGGGGTGTGGGTGGAGGCCTGAGACCTGTCAAACATCTCGTCAAAGAGGTAAGTTCAGGCCAACCACTGAGAGTATTGTACATTTTAAAAACAATAAATGGAGAAATCACCTGCTCGGTTTCAACATTCAAAATGATTTACTCCCAACACCTGAGGTTGCAGTGTTTTGCACTTCTTTGTTGTACTGTTGGCATTATGTAATGTAAACAGAAGGCAGAGATGCATGCTGGGTAGAGAGCAACAGGCCAGCCCTCTGCTATGTTGCTGTGTCAGCAGGGTACTTTTCTCCCCTGAGAAGTGGGAATTGCAAAAACGAGTGCGCAGGAGGGGCCGACACGGATACACACCCAAGCCTTTAACTGAAACGTGCACTCTGCTCACACACACACACGCACACACACTTGCACCCCACGTGTTTTCTGCTTAGTCTTTGTTTACAATTATTGTTCCATGGTCTGGATTTTCTGGAATTGTGCATATTAATGTGGGTGTGGATAGTGTGGGAGTTTCAAGAGCACAGCTTGTAACTTATGCAACATTTTTTAAGTGAGTGTGTGTGTGTGTGTGTGTTTAGAATCGAGAGAGTGGCATGTCGGTGCGTCCTCGGTCATACAGCATTGTGTAAGCCTCAGTAGCCCTCAGACCCTCAGGCTCTCCTGTCCGGTTTTGATTTCCTGCCTGCTTGTGTGCAGCCTCAGGGGGGAGCATACTGGGCTGGAGGAGGCATAAGGCCTCTTCGACTCACTGCTCTCCCTCTCCTCTCTCTATTGTTGTCCTTTTTACTTGCAGCCTCTTCTAATCGTTTCAGTGTCTTCATCCTCCCCTCTGTCGCCATCCTGCATGTCAACGTTACGTTTTTCCCTCCTGTTGTGGCGTTCGTGATGCTCAGACGGCCACACATTCCGTCAGCTCAGTGAATTAGACCCAGAGTTGACTCAGATGTGTTGGTTTTGCTCAGAGGCTTTTGCACTTGTTGCATCAATCACGCTCTTCTCAAATCCCAAGTGGTGTGACTAATTGCTCCATAAATAGGTTTGAGTAAAACAGTACATGCAGCTCAGCAGTGTGCGTGACATAACCGTTCCTAGTAAAAAAAAAAAAAAAAAAAAAAAAGAACCGAGACTAAAAGATTCAAGTGCAGCTTCAAACTGGAAGAAAAGCTTTTTTTTTAACTGACTTCAAGTTGCCAGGTATATCAGACATGTGTGCCAGGGTCTATTTCCCAAGGAGGCTAGGTTATTGCTGGAGTAAATCCTCTCATATAGCTTGGATGAAAATACTTTTGAGGGACAGGTACTTCCAGGTGTTATTCAGTTCTGTGTATTCAGCCCTGTGAATACAAACAGATGTTAGGGTTTTTTTTTTTTTTTTTTTTTCCCAAATGCTGTAAATTTGCAATATCCAGGAAAGAATAAAGGCTGGGGCCAAAAAAAAAAGACCCTTAATATAACATGTTAAATACAACACAATCTAGACCAAAGTAGTATTTTAGCATCAGTCGGCACGCCACAATCATCACTAACTAAACAAATAATTTTCTTACTAGCAAATGAATTCAGACAAATTCTACCTTTTACTGTAAATTATTGCTGCTAATAATGGACTCAACATTTTCTGCGGATGCCTCAGGGTAAAAGCCTCACAGAGGAGTGAAGGGATTCTGCCCCCTGAACTGCTGTAGGATCCATTTTCACATGAAATGAATGCAGGGAATAAACCTAAATACTTGCAATACCTATTACAAACAGGATGGAGCATTGGTTTGGACAAATCACAATTATTTTTGTATGCATGGTTCTTCACCCTCATACACTTCTAAATGTAGTTTGCCAAATGTGGCTCAAGAAATCTCAAGGCATATTGGACCCCCAGCTGATACAGTCTGAAAGGAAGAGACTGTGTATTTCTGACTGTCCTGTACTGTCCTGCTTGCCTTTCTTCTGTAGTCTTTGCAGGCACAACGACCCACTCTAGAGATAGTACAGATGCAAGTTTACACACATTGTTAATAACCCGTTATTACCACAACTTAGAAATTCCTACAATTACGATGAAAGAAAACAACATTGGTTTTATTTGTGTGTGTTTCTTCCAGATGAACCTTCTGCTCAAGGAGTACCTGATATCAGGAGATGTGTCGGAGGCAGAGCACTGTCTGCGGGACCTGGAAGTCCCCCACTTCCACCATGAGCTGGTCTATGAGGTACTACAGTCAGTCTTAATGTATTTAACGTGAATCCAAGTATAATTGTATTTGCAGAGATGTCAAACATACAGTCTTCAGTCATATTTTGTTCCCAACATTATGAAAATAAGATAATTAAATCAGCAAAGTGAATCTTTTTTTTCTCTCTCTTGTTTTTAGTCAAGTAAACTGATGAGCAAAACTGAAAAAAAAAAAAAAATCCCTTCAGAGACTTTCATTTCTGTTTTCTGCCAAGGACAGTGTGTGTTTGGCAGCAGATTTCTCTCATTTGCATTATATGTATTATTAGCAAAGCTCAGTCCAGATCAATCAATCCAACATGGTGATGCACATTGCATAACATGGAACTGTCTATCCTCAATACAAATATAATTACTGTTATTGTTATTTTGTACAATGTGTTGCTGAATGTTTTATTTGTGATGCTTCTAATTGTAGCAAAGAAAATAAACTTTCAGTTAGTCAAAAGCCTTTATTCTCTAATGTATTAAAAAAAAAAAATATATATATATATATATATATATATACACACTGTATATTTGTATGACATCTACTTGTGGAAGTATAAACGTGCAGTATGCTGGTTGGTTACCAGGTTTCCAATGTACTCACAATTAACAGACTTAGACAACAGGTTTTTCTTTTCCAAATTAGACTGGGGACCAACCGCAGCTACAACTGGTCAAAGTCAAAAACTTCAGATTCTGGATTTTCTTTCCATCAAATGGAACTGAACACATACATTTATATAAATCTGTGTATGTATAATTGTATTATTTCATGTTATGAGCTTTTACCATTCTGGCAACAGTGCATTGTGTACTTTTGTCCAGCTGGGTGCTTTTTGTGCTGCATATGCTGCACTGTTCAAAAGTGTCCGGTTTTTATTTTTTCAGTTACAGTTTAGAATTGCACGCAGAAGTTAGAGTGGATTATGAATATTTGTCACCGATTTCAAAACTTAAATCTTTTATGTTGGTCAGTGTTAAAGTACATTATGAGGACAACAAAGTCCTGTTGTCAGTCTTACCTTCAGCTTGTCCTGACTCATGTTGTGAAAATGTCTGATGATGAATGCCTACCATGTGGATCCAAACACTGCGACCATGTGGTGAAATGTGCAATTGTCACGTGTTTGGAAAAAATCCTTTTTGGTCATCACAGACGTTTATTCCACCAATATTTGATTTTCGATTAGACGCTTGGTGCAGAACATCTCTCTGTCTCAATTATTCATTATGCTATATCATATCATTGTTTTTCAGGCTATAGTGATGGTGCTGGAGTCCAAAGGAGACACTGCCAGTCATATGATGATAAAGCTGCTGCAGTCCTTCTGGAAAACAGGCCTCATCACTGTGGATCAGATGAACAGGGTCAGTCTTTTTATGCACTTGAAAATATCTTTCCCTATGAGAGAAAAGATTTAAACAAACTTTACGCTTTATTTAAAAACGAATGAGCGTTTAACCGTGTCATAATAGTATCCCTCTTTATACATTGTTTTCCACGTAGGGTTTCCAGCGCGTCTACGATGAACTCCCTGAAATCAACCTCGATGTGCCACATGCCCACTCGATCATGGAGACCTTCGTGGACCTCTGCTACCAGGAGTCTGTCATCACCAAGCAGCTGAGAGATGCCTGTCCCTCCAGGTTAATCAGGCAGTGATTAGCACTTCAAAACAATGCCATTTTCCTAATTAAGTCATTTTCAAACACTAGTGGTGTTGTCTATTTTTCTCACTGTCAACAAAGCCAAAAGTGCAAAGTGAATATTTTCTAACTTCCCCAACTTTTCTGTGGATCTCAGTCTCACGGCCTTTTGTTTTGTGCTTAACGTATTCATCTTAAAAAGGCTCAGGAATTTCCCCAAACAGCTGGGACCTCTAGTTTTTAGTGGACACTGGGAGTAGATAGTGCTTTTGATGAGGACTATTTTCAGATGGGGGGATAAATACACCTCTGGTTCTCTTTTGAGTATTTACACCAGCAGGGCAGTGTATATGGGATTAACTCGAGATAAACTGCAGTACCCATATGCATGGTAATGAAGTCACCCAGTGTAAAAGTGCGGCTTACTGACGTGTTTTAATTGGTTTTGGACATTGACAGAGAGGAATAATCTATAAGCTTTTAGTTAAACAGGCAAAACAACAGTAGGATCAATTCGTTGTTGGTCTTTTAACAGGATTTGATGACAATAAGGAAAATACAACATAACCATCCTTAACATTTATTATTGTAAGGTGTAAACCAAAATTATACTAACATGTCTCTCAAACTTTATTTTCTCCACCAGAGGGCGAAAGCGCTTTGTAAGTGAAGGAGATGGAGGCGTGATCAAGAACTAATCCACAAGAGGAAGAGGAAGAGCAGGAGGAGGAGGAGGAGAAGGGGTGTCTACAGGTTCTCGCCCCCTGTTTACGCTCCAGCATGCCCTTCTGAAATGGGGCATGGCTGGCAGTCTCAAGTTTCCTTGTTCCTCTCCTGATAATGTTGTCATTACACAAACCAGCGTTGACGTTCGGTGAAAGCAGACTGAAGAGTGGCGTTCAGTACCCTTCATCTTGTTAATCACTGTTTTTGACATTTTTGTAAGAATATTCTTTATTTCTGGGGTTGATGTTCCCCCGTTGCCTCAGTCTTTGTACCTGTTTGTCAAGAATAATTCAAGTCAGAGCTGCAGAAGACAGACAGGTGGGCAGGTTGGGTTTTGTGCGAGATGAGTTTTGGTTGTTTGTCTCTTGCTTTGCTTCACCTGTTGCCACATCTCGATTTTTTTTCATGTTAAGCACTATAAATGGAAAAAAAAGCACTTAAAAGAGAGCATACTGCACAGTCAGTGAGCACTTAGAAATTTAGCTCAACAACAATGAACTAAACCATTTCATTTTCTGCTACAAATGATTTGAAATTATTTCAAGGCTACCATACTTAGAACCCTCTGGTTCCAGTGGTTCTGTTGATTTGAGTTTTGAGGTTTATTTTTTTCTTTTTTTTTTTTTTCTTTTTTTTTAAAATCTTGGTCTCTGCGGCCAAATCTTCCCGTTGTACAACACAGCAATCAGAGCAAGAGGTGTTTGGGCACTGTTTGGGTGTTTTATTGCATTAGGGCAAGTATACATTGGAAGCCCTTAATGAAAATAGGAATAAATTGGGGTTAATGTGTGTAAATACAATTGAACAAGCAATATTTTGAGCATTCTGACTTTGCTTGCAGTTAATGTATCCACAGCCACATGGTCAGCAGTGGATTCTGGACAGGTAACCTTAAATATAAATCCAAACTTGCTCTAGAAAACAGAATTGATCTGGATAATTTCTTTAAACTTGGAATCTGTTTAATATGTCTGTGAGAAGGCAACCCTGATATGTTGGGTATATTCAGATTTTTCTGCCACTGTCTGTAAAAGTTTTACATGTTGACCAAAGTTGAAATGTGGATAAGAAATATATTTCATTCATTAAAAAAGGCAACAAAATGAAGTTTCTGTTTTGTTTTTTTCCATGCCAGCAGCATTGGTGAAAGAGTAACCAGAATTAAGTCACTGGGCAAGAGTAGTAGAGATATACATTAATCACACCTGTTGATCATAGTCATCAGTTGGGATCCTTTCACTTGAACCATCTTAAAGTTTCTCATTTCCCATTTTTCTCTGACTATTGATCAGAGCAGGTGTAAAAAATGTTAACTTATGTAACTGAAGAACTGTTCAAGGCCACAGGTTGGATGTTTTATTTCTCCTAAGGCTCTGACTCTTGACAATTTATGGTACATACAGTATATGATGCCTGGCTATGTGTTTCTATAGCACAGCTTTATTATGTCTACAGTGTAAATAACTGATTGAGGGAGATGTATGTTAAATGGTTAATATTTAGAAACTGGTGTAATTCACAAGACACACTCATTCGTGCATGCAGCCATCCACTGTCAAGTAGAGGCTATAATGTTAATGTTTTGTATTCCTACAGTCATATTTGTACTATTGATTGATTTATTTTGGATCAGCAAACTGTTCACAACACACTGTTCTACAGAAGAATTTCATTTTATATATTTCAATAAAATGACATATTTCCCTCTATAAAGTAATATTTGCATTTTTTCTCCTCTCATTGCTTTAAAGGGTGTTTTATTATTATACTTATTTGGTACAGTCAATGTACAGATAACATCTAGAGACACTGTTAAACAGCAAGACAAATAAGAAACAATGCATGTATTACAAATAGGTAGAACTGCAAAAGTTCTTAGAGGAATTTTGTATCATTTGTTTTTTTTTGGGGGGGGGGTTTCAAAAGGAGGCCAACAGTGTTCGAGTTGTCAGTGCAAAATACCCCCATTATTCTAAATAAAGCACATATGAGGACAAAAAATGTGTTTGTAAATGAGGGACCATTCTCTGAGTGCGTCTGTAGAAGTCTCGCAATTTGAGAGGGAAATTAGTAATATTGTAACTGCATAGCAACAGAAAACTTAAGTCCATCTAATTAGGAGAATTTTAAATTATATATTGAAATAGGATTTCTCGGGCAATTTGACCAATTAATTTTGAATGTCTAGCTCAAAGTTGTAAAATCATCAAAATTATTTGCCCCATTTTCATTGATGGGCATTTAAAACAGAGATTGCCTGTCGTACTCTTTCTGCCGACATTACGTGAACGCAGCACGTCAGCAAGTGGAGCAGAGTACACGTCAGTGGAAGCGAGTATTGACCAGGAAGTAGAAGTGGCTAGTTTGCTAGCAGCGGATAATGAGCAGCTGAGATTCTGGCATTTTGACAGGTCGGTAATCATTTGGTCAATGAAAATTAAGATAGAACTGCGTCCTGGAAGCATATTTCTGAGTTGCTGACTAATTAAAGCCATATTACATTGCGACAGCCGGTCGGTATCGCTAAAACTGACGTTATCATGACGGTACTACTAGCGTGCAACCTCCAGGCAACGTTGCTTTACCTGGGTGTAGCGGCGGGTTTCCGGCTGAATGTGCTCTGGGTAAAACAGGTGTCAGTGATTTGAATTGGAGAAACTTACTATATAAGCGGGTTTAATTATTGAATGGTCGGCGACGTAAGAACACATTTTCTGTCATACACCATGCAGAGTTAGCTAGACCGCTGTGTTTAGCCTGAGACGGTAGAGGATGCTCCATGACCAACCACAGAAATAATAAGGACGATTTTCATCTCATAAATGTTGCCAAATTATGTGCTGTAAACACTAGTATTTGTTGTATTTCTCTTGCTTCGAAATCAGAAACTATCCATAATTTGCCAGTTTTTCAGATGTACTTGGTTAACACCATTGCAGTCTAGTACAATGGTCCTGCCATTAATCCTGCATGCTCAGTAGAGCTGCAACATCAGTCCATTAAATGCTCATTCGATTAATAAAAAAAATAGTCATCAACTCGTTTTAGCTGTTTTTGTCATTTAAGTCATTTTTTTAAAGCATAAATATCAAATATTTGCTGTCTAGCTTCTCAAATGTGAGGATTTGATGCTTCTATTTGTCATACATGACAGTAAACACGTTTGGCTTTTGGACTGTTGGTCAGACAAAACAAGACATTTGAGGATGTCACCTTCATCATTTTTTAATATCTACTGTCATTCTATTGTCAAAAGAATTAATCAATGAATCTGTCGTCATTGATATTAGAACTAGACTGATGAATTGGCCAGGCTGCTATATTGGCTGATATCAGCTTATTGCAGATATTTGCAGTAAGTAACAATAAATTGCCAGATATGCTCTGTAAAAACCATCAACAATCTTCAACAAAAACATCAACAAAACAGCATTAATTTCAACAATTTACAATGCTGTAAATGTGTGTGCTACCTTCACAGTTAAAGTGAGCATAGTGCAACAGTCTATAGGTTGACTGTAATGCATAGTTGGAAAAGCTGTTGCAGCAGCCCATATGTAATAGAAGTAAGGTGCAAAAAGTCAAAGGGCCACTATTCATCATCAGTCTTTGTGTGTGACACAGTTTACATGTAGCAGGTTCACAGTCTGAGTGGAGAAGTTGTCTGAAGTCTCTTCCTGTTCTCCTGTTCTGAATTGTCCAAATATGATTTCTAATGGCTTCTCTAATGGCTCCAAAAAACCAAACAGCAGTTCACAAACCAATGGGTGACACCTCATAGGGTTGCCACTTCTTCTTTACCAAAACAGTCAAACAAACAAAAGGGATCTCCAGACTGTTTGAGGGTGTAAGGTTAAATACTCATTGGATCCTGTCGTTTAATATGCACTGTTCTCTATGTCTAAGGACATAAGGAAGCATTATTTGAAAGAGGTTTGCCTTTCTGTTCCCTTGACACAGCTACACACTGAAAAAAATATTTAAATCCTAATATTTTCCTCCTTCCTCCTCTTGTCTCCAGCTTCAGAAGGGCAGGATGGGCAGGCAGAGGAAGAGGGTGGTGAACAGTGAAGCTGCTCCCCTTCCAAGGAAAGATGAGAAGCCCTCTGCGTTTCACCGCAAGGAGAAGAAAAAGAAAGTTGATATTGGAAAAGTCTTCATCAACATCTCGATTGGCCTCTGCATATTCAGTCTGATCTGGTTCTTCTATGCCCTCTACATGCGGTCAAGCCTGGCCAAACGGGTGGTGACTTTGCACCCGTCACCATCTGTCCTGGATGCCAATAGCAGCAGTGCCAAAGTTTCTCCGGAGAGGTTCTGGGGCTCATACAGGCCGCAAGTCTACTTTGGCATGAAAACTAGGAGTCCCAGGTCGATTGTGACAGGTAGGCTGATGCAGTCAGAGTCAAGCTGAAGCTTATAAGCACATTTATGGTGGGATGGTTAAAGGAAAATATGACATCGACATGGTATTTCTGTAATATTGTACAAATTAAACATAACCTGGGATTTTAGTAGGGTACGGGTAGGGCTCGATGCTAATGAAAGAATCAAATATCTAATTTATTTCTGAATAACTGAAAATAGATGTGATGATAATGTGACCATATTTTGGAGATGCTGTTTCTCAAAATGTCTTTTTAGACATACTACACAGTTGTTGCAGGATTATTGTATATTTAACTCATGTATTGAGTATTAATGAATTCAAAAGAGTAAAACAATGAGAAAATCCCAAACAATATCTTATATCATGATCATTTTGCTGACATTATGCATTCATCTGTGAGGTACATTTTCTGATTTAGAGCTGTAACCATACAGTCAGACAAGACCAAAACTTACTTGTATGTAACATTCTATGAGCGCATAGAGTCAATCACTAATTTATCACAATGTATTACTGGCAAAAAGTGTACATAGACTAGACAGTTGTCTGTTTTGTAGATACTGCCTCTATTTTCAAATAACACAAAATAACTAATAAGAATGGATTTTCCCTTTTCACATTTAATTGTTTCCTTTTACAAAATATTTGCTTTGCTGCGTTAATGAAGTCTTCAGTGTGTAATTGCACTAGATCAGCAACAGGGTTGGAAATGAGCCCAGGAACTTGTCAAATTCAAGTAATTTTTGGCTACAGTTCCTACGACTGTTTACTCTGTCAGCCAATTTGGATGTCCAATATTGTTTGTTGACAGTGCATTACATTTTCCAATACTGAGTAAACACCAATAATTATGCACTGGTGTTCTGAAAACCCAGTTGGCTGGTAACTTAGTACAAACCAATGAGTTTTAGGAATTACCTTTATCTAAAACTGTTGACTAGTAGTTTTATTTCACAAAGTAAGAAGCATAATCTTTATTTGTGCATCATCTGTGCTATACAGCCAAATTAATTTCATTTCATTATCATATCTCCCCAGGCATGATGTGGATGCGCCAGTTTTCTGACATGGACGTAAACCTGAGGCACACTTGTGAGCAGGGGGATCGTTTGCAAGGCTATGGCTGGCTGATGCATGATGGGATCACCTTCGGAGTCCAGGAAATCCGAGACAACGATTTCACCCTAACCACAGAGTTTGTCAAGAGGATGGGAGGAGGTCATGGAGGAGATTGGACCTGGAGGATCACTGCTAAACAGCATGTGAGTTCTGACTGTGTTTATTCAGCTTTACTGTATGTGCAGATGTTCCCTTACATGACCCAAACCAGCTTTTGCCATGGATATTGCAGTTAATAGTTGTATTGTCTTCTGTTGAAATATCAGTGGTCTAAGGGATGCTGATTTCTTCTCTTTTTACCCGCCAGAGCTCTGCCCCTCAAGCACCAGTCATCTCCCTGATGTTTTATGCAGCAGCAGACACACAGGGTTCACTGGAGGCTCACGTGGAGGAGAGAAATCGCCTTGCATCCATCACTGGTTTCTCAGAGGAGCTTGGAAACTTTAAGATCACCTTCCGAAAGCCTGTTACTGGGGAATTATCCAGCGCTAAATATGCCAGGTAAATAGATAAATACAGGAGTGAACGGTAAAGTCAGCAGTACTTTCAAAAAGTGATGAGAATCAAGAAAGATGGAGGGAATATAGTGTAGAATGAC